AAAAGCAATAAATAGATCGTTAGCGTTATTAGTTTTAACTGATTAAAATCGTTTTAGAGTTAATGAAAGATCGTTTCAGCCGTCTTTGTGACCCACACTGTGCACTTTGCGAATCGTGAGTTGGAAGTGGTGAGTGGTGTCCTGGAAGCCGGTGTGTTTTCCAGCAGCCACACTGCTAGTAAGCTGGCAGATTGCAGTAAGGAGGTGTGCCGCCAGTTCAACGTTGTGCCTGTGACCCATGATGAGGCAGCTCACATAATTGCTGCTGGTAGGTTGCTGCAGGACAGCAACGACTGGATATCATGCATCTGCATGGCACACCGTCTGCACTGCAGACCGTTGCTCGCCGTGCATTGGCCATCAAGGATGTCGCCAAGCTTCCGGCCCGAAGCCGTAAGCTTGTTGGCCATTTCAGACATAAGATCTTGTCTTGCTGCTGAGGCACTTCCAACTAAGCTGAAGCAGCTGAAGCCGGATCAACAGCCGTTGAAGGTGGTACAAGATGTGTCCACCTGGTGGAACTCAACGCTCTACATGTTAGAGCGTCTGGTGAAGCTGCGCATTAGCTTGACTGCTGTGTTCTGTGTTGAGCAAATCACTACAAAATGTGACGACCGTGACACGCTCCTCAGGGACACTGAGTGGTCTTTGGCGGAACATTTAATCAACCTGCTTATTATTATTATTATTATTATTATTATTATTATTATTATTATTATTATTATTATTATTTGAAACTCGGATGTTGAGCCATAAATAAATGTAAAAGAGAAAAGGACATATGGATACGAGTTAAGAGTAACTCTCCATCACTGTAACATGATACTATATACAGTCAGAAAGTGCAATAACTAGGCACAAAACTGACAGAGTACTGAGACATTCGACGTCCTGACACCTAACTTCAACACATCTCCGTAGCGCTAACCGACAGCCTTCCAACTTGGAAGGTTCAAGGTTATGGAAAGACCAAAGAGGGGAAGGCAAGCGCAACGAAAACGAGCAAAAGCTACAGTCCCAACGGAACAAAGAATGTCGATTGTTACTGGACGATGACGAGACCAGTACGATATTTGACAAAGCGGTCTAACTACAATTCGAAGCAGCAAAGCAGCACACCACCCAACTTGGGTGGGTCATAAATATCAAAGATAAGTAAAGAAAGGGAAGCTTTGCGAAAACGAATTGTACAAGCCCAAAGCCAAACTCCTACAGTACTCCTCATGCATGACATTGTGATGGACTAGTTGACTACAAAACAAGTTGTTTCACACGACGTACGTTTCGCCGCATGGTTCGTGACGGCTCATCAGGTGTGCAATTTGAAACTCGGATGTTGAGCCATAAATAAATGTAAAAGAGAAAAGGACATATGGATACGAGTTAAGAGTAACTCTCCATCACTGTAACATGATACTATATACAGTCAGAAAGTGCAATAACTAGGCACAAAACTGACAGAGTACTGAGACATTCGACGTCCTGACACCTAACTTCAACACATCTCCGTAGCGCTAACCGACAGCCTTCCAACTTGGAAGGTTCAAGGTTATGGAAAGACCAAAGAGGGGAAGGCAAGCGCAACGAAAACGAGCAAAAGCTACAGTCCCAACGGAACAAAGAATGTCGATTGTTACTGGACGATGACGAGACCAGTACGATATTTGACAAAGCGGTCTAACTACAATTCGAAGCAGCAAAGCAGCACACCACCCAACTTGGGTGGGTCATAAATATCAAAGATAAGTAAAGAAAGGGAAGCTTTGCGAAAACGAATTGTACAAGCCGAAAGCCAAACTCCTACAGTACTCCTCATGCATGACATTGTGATGGACTAGTTGACTACAAAACAAGTTGTTTCACACGACGTACGTTTCGCCGCATGGTTCGTGACGGCTCATCAGGTGTGCAATTTGAAACTCGGATGTTGAGCCATAAATAAATGTAAAAGAGAAAAGGACATATGGATACGAGTTAAGAGTAACTCTCCATCACTGTAACATGATACTATATACAGTCAGAAAGTGCAATAACTAGGCACAAAACTGACAGAGTACTGAGACATTCGACGTCCTGACACCTAACTTCAACACATCTCCGTAGCGCTAACCGACAGCCTTCCAACTTGGAAGGTTCAAGGTTATGGAAAGACCAAAGAGGGGAAGGCAAGCGCAACGAAAACGAGCAAAAGCTACAGTCCCAACGGAACAAAGAATGTCGATTGTTACTGGACGATGACGAGACCAGTACGATATTTGACAAAGCGGTCTAACTACAATTCGAAGCAGCAAAGCAGCACACCACCCAACTTGGGTGGGTCATAAATATCAAAGATAAGTAAAGAAAGGGAAGCTTTGCGAAAACGAATTGTACAAGCCGAAAGCCAAACTCCTACAGTACTCCTCATGCATGACATTGTGATGGACTAGTTGACTACAAAACAAGTTGTTTCACACGACGTACGTTTCGCCGCATGGTTCGTGACGGCTCATCAGGTGTGCAATTTGAAACTCGGATGTTGAGCCATAAATAAATGTAAAAGAGAAAAGGACATATGGATACGAGTTAAGAGTAACTCTCCATCACTGTAACATGATACTATATACAGTCAGAAAGTGCAATAACTAGGCACAAAACTGACAGAGTACTGAGACATTCGACGTCCTGACACCTAACTTCAACACATCTCCGTAGCGCTAACCGACAGCCTTCCAACTTGGAAGGTTCAAGGTGAGCCGTCACGAACCATGCGGCGAAACGTACGTCGTGTGAAACAACTTGTTTTGTAGTCAACTAGTCCATCACAATGTCATGCATGAGGAGTACTGTAGGAGTTTGGCTTTCGGCTTGTACAATTCGTTTTCGCAAAGCTTCCCTTTCTTTACTTATCTTTGATATTTATGACCCACCCAAGTTGGGTGGTGTGCTGCTTTGCTGCTTCGAATTGTAGTTAGACCGCTTTGTCAAATATCGTACTGGTCTCGTCATCGTCCAGTAACAATCGACATTCTTTGTTCCGTTGGGACTGTAGCTTTTGCTCGTTTTCGTTGCGCTTGCCTTCCCCTCTTTGGTCTTTCCATAACCTTGAACCTTCCAAGTTGGAAGGCTGTCGGTTAGCGCTACGGAGATGTGTTGAAGTTAGGTGTCAGGACGTCGAATGTCTCAGTACTCTGTCAGTTTTGTGCCTAGTTATTGCACTTTCTGACTGTATATAGTATCATGTTACAGTGATGGAGAGTTACTCTTAACTCGTATCCATATGTCCTTTTCTCTTTTACAATTATTATTATTATTATTATTATTCTCGTATCCGTTCCCAAGGGGAACTCACGACAATGGAGTGAAAAAAACATAAACAAAAATAAAAACATGGTGATGTGAAGATAATAGTGTTGCATACCTTGAGTACAAAATAATACAGATACAATCAGTGCTTCGGATGCCTGTAGACCCTGATATAGTAGTGAGCACAAGCACCGTCCACAAACGTAAGACAGTCCATATGTTCATGTGATGGCCGAGCAAATGTTGCCCCATCTCATTCGATCGGCCGCAAAGTCCCGAAGCGTGTCTAGGTGTCAATTCGTCTTCAGTGCAACTGCAGTTAGCTTGCAGTCTCGCTGAAGGGTGGTTACCAGGCAGGACCGAGGTGCTCCCTTCCTGTGTTTAGTTGTTTCCTCTGCAGTTAGGTATGCCATCATTGCTTGGTTCCCTGGTGTGCCGATTTGTTGGCGTAGAATGTGCCCGAGTAACCGCCATCTAGCTCGCTTCGCAATTCCAGATATTGCCTCGGTGTTGGTGAGCTTATACAGATCGTTGTTTGTGATGATTTTCGGATAAAGGATGCCAAGCATGTGACGAAGCTGCTTTCGATGGCTCTTGTCGAGGGAGTCTTCCAGTGCCTTTGACAAGCCTGCGCAGCCAATATTGTACGTAAGAATCGGGAGGACGTATGCGTTGTACAGCCTCATCATGGTGTTAGTTGTTAGGTGCTGTCGCCGGAGCCAAATCTCTTTCATGCGCCCAAATGCCGCTGTGGAAAGGCTAATTCACCGCGCTACATCATAGCATGATCCATACAAGGAGCCAAGTGTCTTTACCGTTCTCCAAGGCTCCTGTCCACGAATAACGAACTGGTGTGTTACTGCTGACTGTGCCGTTGGTTCTAGGTATATTCTGATCCATTCTGTTTTTGTAACGTTAACTTTTAAATCCCATGTGTTGAAGGTGCTCTCCGCAAGCAACAGAAGCTGGTCAAGATAGGCTTTGGACGTTGAAATAAAGTCTACGTCATCAGCATAAGCTGTTTCTGCCGGTAGGTGTTCATCTCCAGCTGGTCTCGGTGGCAGGACTGAACGAAGGTCACGCAGGGCGGCTTCGAGGTAAACTGTAAATAGGACCTGCTTAGTCCATTGGAAATTGCTACAACGGCTGTCAGTGCACAACGCTATGTGACTGGGTCTCTACAACTCCCGATTGCAGCGCAGTTTATATAAGGAGGTGTCAGCTTCAACCGACGGATTGCCCAGAGCTGCCAAAAATGTGGGCCAGAAGCTGACGACGAAAATGGTGCGCAAGTTTCCGGATGTTGCATCACCACCGCCAACCTCAACATTCACCTTGGCCTCCGTGCTTGATCCTAGGTTCCGTCAGTTGACTTTTTCTGGACAATGAGAAACCTGCAGCAGCCCAAGAGGTCATCCTTGATAAGCCGAAGGCACAGCAACCACCATCCAATGTCGAGCCTCCTACCAAACGTGCAAAGCCACCAGGCAGCTTGAGCCAGCTGTTCAAGTCTCGGCAGCAGGAAGCCCTGATGAAAATCAACGGTTCACCCTCGCCTGCACAGCTGCGCCAAGAAGTAGACATGTACTTTGAGGAAGCCGAGGTTGACGTGGAGGTAGATCCATTAGTGTGGTGGAAGCTGAAATTGTCACGGTTCTCAAACATCGCTGATCTTGCTCGGAGGTTCCCGTGCATACCTGGCACCTCAGTTCTGAATGGACTGTAGGACTCTGGTAGCCAATGATGCACGAATACATACAGCAAAGTGGAATAGTAAACTGAGCGCTGTCACATACCTGCTCGCCGTCCATCATCTGAATGAAAGAGAAGACGAAATCCGGTCCCATCGTTTGAAGGCCTGCCATATCGACACGAATCAAGATGGACATGAACCAGCATGGCTGTCAGCAAATGAAAATCATTGCTCTCAGGAGCCACTGGCTACAGTACAAGAGTAACTGGATTGAAACCTTACGACAACAACAACAACAACAACAACAACAACAACAACAACAACAACGACAACGACAACGACAACGACAACGACGACGACGACAACAACAACAATAACTCTTATTGGCCACAGGCCATCGTGAGAATAAAGACTTGAAACAATAACAAACACAGAGAACTACAGTATTGGGTTATGACCGTACAAGAGGCTGCAAAACAAATCAAAATCAAGTAGTAGTGCATCCACTGACCCTGTATGTGATTGCTGAGTAAGCCATGGATGATATTGTAGACAGCGGAACGGTCAACGCGAATCAATGCCTGGGGAAAAAAGAGGCAAAGACAAGCACTGTCACATCTGCAGGGGCGTACCCAGGGGGGGGGGGGGGGGGGGGGGATTTGAGGGGTGCGGACGACCCCCCCCCCCCCCCCCCAGATTCTCGTCTCGCACTGCACGTGCATACGCTGTACCAATATCGTGGTATCTACACGCTGCATGGTCACATGCATGCCGATGTAACCCCCCCCCCCCCCCCCCTGCGTACGCCCCTGAATTCTGTGACCCAATCATTCGGACCAAGTTGTTCACAATCCACTCACACGTGCTGCTCCAGGTCGTCGACACCAGGACCAAGGAACACAGCACACTGGCATCAGCACTGCCTAAAAACTCTGAATGACACAGCTATTCTGCATTGATTTTTCTTGGCAGTTTAGTTCAACGAGCTTTTAAACACAGTGTGTGACTAACCTGTACGTGCACTTCCTTGCCGATTGCCTCCACGATCTGCACCGCCTGCGCATCTTTCAGCGGATGAATGCGAACCTTGGGACAACACCAACACCCACAAGCACACATAGCCAGTACCAGTACTGAAGCTGGGACAAACACAAGCAACGTAACGCACAGTATGTGTAGGGAAGTTTCAAAAACTGTCGCCATTCTGCGTGCTTAGTACTGCTTACCAAAGACAGCAGGCCAAAGATGACGTGTGGCACTACAACGTGTTGGTCTTTCAAACGGTCGCAGAAGAAAGTGCAGACGTGGTTGACTGGAGAGCACAAAACGCACACGAACGCAGGCACAAGCCACTGGTGAGTCAAACAGTGCCAGTGAAGAATGAAGCACAACTCAAGAGGCATGACAGCACTACCCCCCCCCCCCCCCCCCCCCCCCCCCAGGGCTCTCCCTAAGAACCATGATTCACTGGATTAGCCATAAGTAAAAGGCACATACCGTAATGGCGCGTATAAAAGCAGGTGCTTACGGCCGTATAAGCCGGGGTTCAAACCATGCTTCTACGTCAACATCATCAGTCTGCCCTGTGCAGAACATACTGCCACGCATGTACGTGCACAATCATGTACTTTGCAAGGAGCGGCTTCTATTCAAACCATGCATCTGTGTCATGAAGCGCTTCAAAAAATCGGCTTCTATTCGAGTCATGCTTCTATACAGGTCATGCTTCTATACAGGTCATGCTTTTATCCATGAAACTACAGTAGATGTAATTCCACACATAAGGGCGCGTTCAGACTACCATGAACCCCGTCGAACCGTGAATGCCGATAAACCGTGAAGGACATTCACACTACCGATAAACTAACGTCACCGGTACGTAAGCTTTGCACCTCTCACCGCGGCGCTGAGAAGGGATTTTCCCTTTTTCACAGCGCGCATGCAGCCTGAGCACTTTTTTACTGCCGGGAAAACTTTACTGCCGCAGCAGCCACGGCAGTAAAACTTTTCCGCCGGTAACGTGCCACTAACGTCACGTGATCAAATCACCTTGGCAGCTTTTCCATTCCGTCACTTTTTATCGGTAGTCTGAACGCGCCCTAACCGGCAAAAAGATGTGCAGTGTTGGTACATGTGCAGGAGTAGGTTGTTGAGTAGCCCCCCAATACGGCCATCAGGGTGTCATGAATCGCATTTGCCTAAAAGTACGGTGACAACACGTGTGGATGGAATTGTGAAACAAAACGGGTGGCACTCCTGGGCTGCCTTTGGGGCAGGGGTGATCATGTAGCCAAGCGTTCGTGCTTGCTCCTCAACGTTGTTGCTGAACCTTGTGTCCATTGGTCTATTCAATGTCTGCCCTACTGTAAGTCAATAAATATTCGGCGCATATTTATTTTCGGCTACTAGTATTTCGGCCTGGTCATGTTAGGCAGAAAATTAGTTGCGGCCGAAATTTTGTTTTTGCAAGGTTCAGTGTGACAGTGTAACAGTTATACAGGCGACAGCAGTACAGGCCGAAAATTTGATGCGGCCGAAATGGGTTTTCATCCCTGGGAGGCCGAAATTTGAATGGGCCGAAAATTGGTCGGCTTACAGTATGCGGAATCTAATACACAGCCAGAGTTTGTTGGACTCGATAGCCCTAAAAGTGACTGCAGTTGATCAGAGGTAGCATACTAAATCCAAGCATAACACGGACACAGCACACTTGCTCACGTTCTGCCTCGTTCAGGTACGTGCCGGGAAGCGCGCGAATCAAATCAGCAATCAGGCGAGTACCACGTGCACGCATCTCTGCATCAGTGTGGATGAGCTCCGGGCTAACAATGACGATGATGATGGCGAAAAATGATTGTGATGACGACGACAACAGCAAAGACAGCGGTAACAACAGCAGCAACAATGGTGGCAGCAATAGCAGCAGCGAAAACGACATCAACCACATGTACAGAAAATTTGAGAAAAACCTTTCAAAACCGGCAGTAGAGAAACCATTCAAATCGCAACTAACAACCATTACGAGTCCATAACCAAGAGTCCATAATCAAGAATGCGTGACTGCGATCCATTTTTTCTACGGGCCAAATGTGCGATGCTGCCTTCATTGTATTGTGTAGCTTCATCCACGCAGTGCGGGAAATTAAATCCGTTGCTAAGGGCTCTGACGCCACGCTGTACAGTCACATCAGCTGTGTTTCCATGCTTGTATCACACTGTACAGCTGTCCCTACCTCAATGCAATACGCTTTCACTAAAACCACCTTGCTCACTTCAACTTTCTGTCCCGGTACCGTAACCTGTGCAATGGCTGGGGGTCAGTGCCAGAGATGCAGCGCATGTACATGTATAATATCGTACATATAGTACTACCACATTGTATGCTGGTATTCATGCATACATGATAGTATATGCACACACAGCATACGCATAGCATGCACACACAGCATACGCATAGCATGCACACACAGCATACGCATAGCATGCACACACACAGCATATGCATAGCATGCACACACAGCATACGCATAGCATGCACACACAGCATACGCATAGCATGCACACACAGCATGCATACATAGTATATGCACACAGCATGCACACAGCATGCAGGGCCTGGTTGCCAAGGCAATCAGTTACCCAATCGGCATACTTACGCCAGTGCGGTGATCACACCCTGGAATGTCATCGACTTGTCCACAAGGCCTACAGAACAGACAAGGAGTGGAGGAGAAACAGTCTCAGAAGCATAAAAGACTTTTAGCTTGGATGCTGCATACAAGACCTAGAGTTAATCTCAACATACATGTACCGCGCGGTTCAGTAGCATGTGTGCAACATGTAGACAGTGGTGATGGGATGGCAGGTCCAGGTGCGACGGGCAGGCAGGATAATGAATGCCCCCCCCCCCCCCCCCGCTCAGTGGCCTGTTGGACCGCTGCACTGACTGGTCTTCACTCAGTGTCATCTTGTTACGGCGCTATGGAACAAGTACAAACAGTCCCATTACTCATCCTGTGTCAGACCAGTCGCTGAACATAGTGGCGGAGGTTTGAAAACTTATTTTGAATTTCTATGGTTTCATACCATGAAAGCCTGTATGAGCGCTCCCATCCAGTATAAACCCACTGCCCGTGTGCACGCCAGGGTGCAGTGTATTAGGCACCGGCGGATAATGCTAGCATAATAACTAGCATAATGACCCATGTGGGGAAGACCGGCACTGCCCTAGCATAAAGCCTCCAAATGTGACCTTGTCTAGCACAATCGATGTGTGAAACTAGCACTACGTCCAGATGAAAGTGTATGCTGGATGCCACCGTTGCCAGAAGTGTGTTTGGCACTGTTTGCTGCGTTTACGGAGTTGTTCAAACTGCACTGACTTGTACTTGGAGCTAAATATAGCATTGTGCACACTTTTTGCAAATTTGATTTCCAAATTTGCAATGCTTGTCTTGAAGTTCAATGTCAATGATACGGCGAGTCTTTTCCAAGTAAGAACGGTAGTTTGTAATTAATTTGGCCTTCAACTTTAGCATGTTGAGTCGTTGTTGACAGTGAAATTAATTATAAAAGTGGTGAGTCCTTCGCTATGTGAGCAAACTAGTTGTACTGTCGTAGCTTGTCGTAATTTGTTGGCCAGATGGCAGCTACGGGAGACGGAGGCTCTGGTTTTGAAACAGAAGATGAGAGCAGTGAGAGTGATGGCTTTGTTAGCGAAGAGGGAAGCTCTGACTTGGAAAAGAACGCGGCAGCCGACAGTCTTCCAGCAGCACAACCAGCTGCTATTGCCCGCAAAAGGTCGTTTGCAAGAAGTGGAAAGTCGAGCGACTCGAGCCAGAATTTCGAAGCAAAGCGCGTGAGAGTGTCAGCTGGGAAATCCACCGCAGCTCCTCGACGCAGCACCCACGATCGGATAGCAGAATTCCCAGGCGAGTACCTCTCAGTTTCTGCGGGGAAACTCTACTGCACAGCTTGTAACTTGACGATCAGTATCAAGCACAGCATTGTGAAAGCGCATGTGAATAGCCAACGACATGTGCAAGGAAAGGAGAGTAAGAAGCGGGCGAAACTTCACCAACAGGCAATAACTATTTCGTGGAAAAAGTTTTCAAGTGAAAGCACGTCTGACCTGGCGGGAAGCGGTCTGTCACAAGCTGTGTCCGAAGATGTTGTTGTTCGGCGGGCCAACGTTGTTGAGGCTTTCCTAAAGGCTGGAATTCCGCTCAGTAAGGTGGATTACCTGCGCCCTCTCCTGGAGAGTGGTTACGGACGTTTAACATAATATATTATAGCACTCACATGGCTCAGCTGATTCCATTCCTGCACTGCAAGGAGGAAGATGAATTAAAGAAGGAGATATCAGGTGCACCGTATGTGGCTGTCATATTTGATGGAACTTCCCGCCTGGGAGAGGCACTTGCAGTGGTTCTGCGGTATGTGGATGCGGATTTCAAGATTCATCAGAGACTTGTTCGCTTCCATGTACTGGCAAAGAGTCTGGCAGGTCTGGAGTTGTCACAGGAGTTGATCACTGTCCTATCTACAAAACTTCAACTGTCTTCTGGGAAAGTGCTCGCTGTGGTCCGTGACGGTGCCGCTGTTAATGGAGTAGCAGTACGGAGTATGCAGGAACTTCTCTACCCACAAGTCATTGATGTCAAATGCGTGTCCCACAGTCTGGACAATGTCGGGAAGCGCTTTGAAGTGCCACTTGTAGACGAGTTTGCTCAGTGGTGGATCAGCCTATTCAGCCACAGTCCTGCAGCACGACTAGCATGGAAACAGCGCACGGGAAGAACTCCGAAGACTTACAGTGCCACTCGTTGGTGGAGCCGTTGGGAGGTTCTCCAGCAAGTTCTTCAGTGTTTCGGTGACATCCAACCATTCGTAGAAGAGCTGACCTGCTCACCATCTGCACGCCAACACCTGCTGGATATACTGATGAGTAACCACCCAGCAGTTCCCAACAGCAGTGATGTGTTCAGGATGGAACTTGCTGCCGTTATCGATGGCGGTCGTCCGTTTGTTACGAACACATACACGTTGGAGGGAGATGGACCACTGGTCCTTAGCGTGTACGACAAGCTGCAGGAGATAGTTGAATCCACTGGTGACATGCACTTCCCAAACACCAAGGCAGTGGCAAAGTCAATTTCTCCAAACAACCAAGCACGCCAACAAGAGCTTATAACCACTGCAAAGCAATGTGTACAGCCCGCCCTCACCTACTTCCGATATTACGATTTTCCCACCAGGATGGTGATCTTCGGTATCTTGTCCAGATGTACAAAGGATTGCGGCTTGGAAACCCCACCTTTGTGCGTGACACCAACCCAGCAGTAGCGCACGTTGATCAACTTCGGGAGCTGCCGTTCCTTGACCATGATGAGACCATTGACGAACTCAAGCTCGAATTACCTGTGTACAAGACAGCCTGTGCCAACTTGCCTCCTGATGACATCGACATGCTTACTTGGTGGCGAAGGCAGCAGCACCTGCTGCACTGGAAGTCGGCTGTTCAGAAGATCCTTCACATTACCCCATCATCTGCTAGTGTGGAGCGTGTCTTCTCCCTCCTGAAAGCCTTGACAACCACCCAGCAGGACAATCTCCTTGAGGATCAACTGGAGCTTGCTCTAATGTTGCAGTACAACAGAGGCCGACTTAGCCATGAAGTATAACTCATGCCATGTGTGCAGCTAACATTACCAGTGCGTGTTATTCAGCAGTCCAGTAGTTTCATTCCCCACTTCTGATGAGTCTGAGTCGATGCTACCTCAGCTGGAGATACAGTTTTAACTTACTGCACTACCCCGTTTTAACTCTCGTTTCCTCTGCTTCTTTGAGCAGAGTGTGCTTAGTAACTGTAACATTGACCGTTCCACCACGCTGAAGAGAATCAGTGAAACTCTTAAACCGCTGTACATGTATTCTCTGATGTTTCTTCAATTTTCTTTGTGTGTTATGTTTCCACCGTGTTTGCCCTGTGATACTGCCATATTCCGAGTGACTGCATAGGGAAGTCATTATTTCCCACCGCATGGATTGACATTTTTGTAGCACTATCGGCACTGCTAGCATTATAACTAGCATAATCGCTCCAAATAACTAGCAGTGCTAGTAGCACAATTTCCTCATATAACTAGCATTATCCGCCGGTGCCTACAGTGTATCAACACTCTTGATCCGTTTTCCAGCCCATGTCTGTGAGAAGAGCTATGGGTGCACAACCGCACAGGCATCCCGCGCTGTTGTTGTTATTGTTGTAACAAGGAATATCAAAAGAATAGAATTGATGAACATTGATCAATCAAGCAAATAATTCTTTATCAGGTCTCCTTTGCGCTGGCCTTAGATTTCCTCATTCCAAACACTCCAACACGGTCTCCTTGCTGCTACCGTCACTTGAAAGGTGAGAAATAAGTGTGATGTATGATGGTATTGTGATAGATTGTGGGAAAAAAAGAAGTAAATTATCGTGTCCGTTCCCAAAGGGAACTCACGACGGCCGCTAACACCCGGTAAACCCTAGACTACTGTAAAAGCCATATATATAACGAAGTGCTAACTCTAACGAGTTAACGAGGAGAAATCTTTCGTTAAAATAGAAATCGTTAGACAGAAATCGATACAATACTGTTGCTATTGAGCGTTGCGAATGAGTGAGAATCGTTACCTTTGGTACACGTAAACCAGTCAATTTTAGGAAATCGTAATAATTATATGCGCCACGTTAGAATTATGGCTTTTACTGTTTTACAGTAACTTAGATTGTGATTTTGAAGAAGGGCTGAGGCTTCCTGCAGCTTCATCTGTGAAAAGAATTCGGGTGGACACATCCATTCCCATAGCGCTGCACATCACATCCGAACCAGTTCCGTTATTTTTACAACGTTTCGGCACTTGGCCATCGTCAGGTAATAACAATGAATACCGTGGAAGCCACACAAGAGCAGTATATACGCAGAGTGTAGCGCCAAAAAAGATGCGAATAATGTCACCTAGTATGCAGAAGGGGGGGGGGGGGGGGGGACAGAGAGAGAGAGAAAAGGCGCAACTAGCACATCACGGAGGAGAAGCAGCAGAAGGTAGCGCGCATTGTGCTCTGTGAATGGCGTTACGCAGAGTGTAGCGCCAAAAAATAAAATGATGCGAGTTATGTCACCTCTATACAGAGGGGGGAGAGAAGCTCTCTGTCCCCCCCCCCCCCCCCTTCTGCATACTAGGTGACATAATTCGCATCTTTTTTGGCGCTACACTCTGCGTATATACTGCTCTTGTGTGGCTTCCACGGTATTCATTGTTATTACCTGACGATGGCCAAGTGCCGAAACGTAAAAATAACGGAACTGGTTCGCATGGCCAGCAATCGAGGACATCTGAGAGTTGTAATTTTTGTACTCCTCCGAGGTGTGATTTTTGGCGTGCTGGGCCAAGCACAAGGAAGCCATCTGCAACAAAACTGCAGAAAATGGTTGTTGTTTGATCCTTTGGTGTAATCTTTGTTTCTAGTCGAAGCTAGTTGCTGTTTGGAGCAGAAACGCTGAAATTGACTATTTTCTGCATGTACTCATGTACTCAGGCATGCAGTCTCACTCGTATTTTAGCTCTTTTTTCTGGAATGGATGCTGCTCTGCGCCCCTTGGTGAACACTTCCTGCGCTCGTGGAGCAGCTGAAAAGGATCACTGGTATGTCTTGTTCCTGGTTCGAAAGTGGAGAGTCGACTTTTGTGCCTTGAAAAGGGAGTAGAGAGCGATAAAGGTACGTCTGTGGCTTATTTCTGAGTGCTCCTCGTACATTTTTGATCGTGATAGAAATTCTCAGACCAAAGTCAGACCAAAGTCAGCGCGATGATGGCCGTACAGTTTTCTTGTGGATTTTTTAGTTGTTTCATCTCGTATCTATGTCAGTATCGTGATGGTGAAGTGGAGAGGGTGATTTTCTTCCTCTAGGCTTCGTTCGGCCGACTTTGCTTCGTCCTCGTTGAAAAGTGATCCTGAAAAAAAGGTCGATTCGCAAAATTATGTTGATTTTCAATGTACGTGATGACATGCGATTGCTGGCTATGGGATGTGATGTGCAGCGCTACGGGAATGGGTGTGTCCACCCGAATTCTTTTCTTAGATTGTGATGTTGCACATAATTGCACAATAATGTTTGTTGTATGTGTGTGCCAACTGGTTGTACCGTACTCGGCAAATATTTGTCCAAAGTGTAGTTCACAATCCTTTTCTATTATTGATTGATTATTGATTGATTGCTACTTCAAAGTATGATTGTATTATAATAATAATTATACTAGTACACAATCACTCATGTAGAATGCAAACGACTTAGGGCACTCACATTTCGATAAAGACGTAATTGCATTCGTACTATTGTCACCCTGAAGGTAATTGTCGATTTGTAGTCTTTCAGCCATCGTAAGTGGTTGTAAGAGTTGGAAGACAATAGTTGGCTCTGCTTTTTCTCCGAATTTCACGAATACAATTTTGGAATGTAGCTTCAAGTTGCAGGTTGGAAACGAAACGGTGGAAACCTATTGTCTCCCTTGAACTGACAACGTGTGCCAGAAATGGCCTTCCATTCCGACTGCACCGATACAATATTACTGAATCAGGAAATTTCCAAAACGGCAAAAGCAGCAACACCCAAAATAAAAGTAGGATCTGCTCAGCGGTATACACTGTCCATGATCTGACACGGATTTTTCAAACTACCTTTGAAATAATTTATTATTTTTTTTCCATCATGCATGCACGTGCTACCCCGTGGATCAGTTACCCCGGCAACAGCAATGCGCGTCCCAGTGGCGTCCTGACCCTCTGCATACATGCATGCATCTGCGCTGCTCGGGGGATCCACCGACCGTGCTTTGGGCAGATACACGACTTTCAACCTGAGTCAGTGAGTGACGATGACGAGGCTGAGGAAGTCAGATGTTCTTGGCACCTAGTCTTGCCCAGCCAACTCAGCACCCACATGGGCAGGCAGCAGACGCCAACGGTAACACAGCTTCACTTGACCCTTCTTTATCGCTCTGGACTCTACCCTAGTCTTGGCCTTTTGCCAGTTTTGGTTGTAGCTGTAGATTTTTAGAGAGCCATACATAATCATTGTTTCCAGCTGCGCTGTCCCATTCGGTGTAAGTAGGTAACGAGGCAACACACTTCCGGAATTTTTGGCAATTTGCTTCCAGAAGTGCTTTTTCATTAATTTTTAGCTTCAAGAGAGGTTCCATTTTAGAGACCTGGAAGCTTTTCTACACCATGGACGCAGAAAAATATCTTCCTCAGCTCCTTGCTGAGAGAGATCGCCTTGATCCAGCACTCGCTCACTGTTTACGTCTTTTGGACAAAGGTAAAGTTCACGCCAGCCCGCATTGCAGTTTCTCGACCTCGTTTCTCTGTTTATTGAGAGAAACACGGTTTGGTCACTCGTACTACATGTATCTGCTTTTTGCGTATTGCCTCTCCTCACAGAAATTGACACAGTGAAGGCTGGTCGGGCAAAAGCTACCGCGGAGCAAGTACATTTATCAGAGAAAGTATTTGTTCCAGCTAAAGATTTTCCCGGGGTAAGTAGTTGTGTGGACTGTAAGATAGATTTGGGACGTACAATGGCACATGACGGCAACAATAAATCACATGTTTTACTTTGGGGGTAGGCGGTGGTGGTTGGGAAAATCAAGTAACCTCCTCGCTCGTGTGTCGCGGTGCACTCACAACTTGTTGCCCGTTCGGCTTGCTCACTCCGGTGTTCAGTTTGAAGCCGGCCGCTGCGCGAGAAAACGTGCCAAAGTTAGGTTGGACAAATCACGGAAACAGAGTAAACCAACTGCTGGTTCGTTTACTACGAGTACATGTACCGGTACTGCATACATGTACACTCGTGGCCATGTGAATGCTGCAACAAGTGGCTTGTGCCAGTAACTACAGTAATCATGACTGTGTTCTGCAGTGTACTCCGTAAAATCTGTGCACGAATTCACCATGTACCTACTTCAGTACTAGTTGGCTACTAAATCGCTACATTTCTTTCCTACTCTACATTTCATGCAGGTGTATGTTGTTCGTCCGAACGGTGTAACAAAGTTTCCCGTGGCATACTATTTCTTTGGGGGCGCGGACGGCCTCACACGAAATCCGAATAATTATATTGGATTGTACACACTTCTAGTTCATTGCAACGCTTCATACAGCGCCATGTCGAATTCGTTTCTGTTCGCGCAACTAGCCTTCTCGAACAACACTCACTCGCTTACTTTTCTTGCGGGATAATTTCTCATTGTTCGGTCCTTTGTTTATTTCTTCCACATCCCACATCATACCGGTAATTAATTTCTTGCTGGTTGTCAAAGGTGTGTAAACGAACCTATAGCAGGGTTCTAGCCAAAGGGGGGTAGGGGGGCGCAGTGCCCCCCTGTGAAAAATTGCCGACCCCCTTCTCATTTTCCGATTTTCGTGTTTTTCATGCATAGATGGTTCGTAAAGGCACATTTGTCTGGGGTGAAGTCAGGGATTCGCCCCATACGTTGCATTTGGCGTGGCAAGACAATATTGGAAAGTGGAAAAATGGGATATACGGTAACTGTTTCCCATGCCCCTTTCCCCCCCCCCCCCCCCCTACTATTTTGACCTGGCTAGGAATGGAGAATGTATCTACAAGAGTGGCACGTGTCACAGGTTTTTTGCACAATTTTTCGTGATACATTTTCCCAAGGTCTTTGCGGCCACTAAGTTCGTGAGGAATTTTGACTCGTGTTGTGATTGGGTACGAGAAGAAATTGTTTTCCTTCTGTGCTGGACGTTTCTGTTTTTGGTCTCCGGTTCTTTCCTCCACCAGTATAATTTTGTAGGGCGCCTGCTTGGACCAAGAGGGCTCTCGCTGAAACGCATGCAGTCTGAAACTGGCTGCCGCCTGACTATCATGGGTCGTGGATCAGTGCGTGATTCTGCAAAGGTAATCCTACTTCTCTGAATGTGATGACTCGTGTGTGACTATTGCTACTCCCCTTTGCTCAAACTTGTTGAAACAGCACCACTGCTTATGCTAGCTTCTGACGTGCTGTCTAGTTGTCAGCTTGGACTCGGTGACCGAATCACGGGCACTTAATTTGCTCAACGTGTCTGTTACCTCTTGTTTGGGAACTCTGTAGGAGGATGAATTGCGTGAATCCGGCGACAGCAAGTACGATCATCTCAACGAGGACCTACATGTGCTGGTGGAGGCCAAGGGAAATGAGAATCTCGCCGCCGCTCGCCTAGCTGCCGGGGTGGCCGAAGTTCGCAAAATGCTTATACCGGGGGTGAGTACTGAGTACACTGTACACTGTAGTTTTGATGTTGTGTCTGTTGTCCCGGAAATCAGCCTGTGCCTGAGTGTGTGTGAATCTGCTCGTGGCTCTTTTTTTGTTTTTGGTGGAGTGTGTGTATTTTTGCCGATACTGGCCAAGGCGCTCAGTAGTTTGCAGGTGCTGCTAACATTTCACCCGATTTGAAAAATCCACACGAAAGCCCTGACATGATGTGGCACTTAGCTAAGACAGGTGGCAATAAAGGACCGGGCCCCAATTCCAGAAAGTGCGATGTATCTTTCATTTTGTGGATATTCCCTGGTCTTGTGAGCTGTGTGTCCTCGTCCTAGAATAGCAATGTGTAACTGTTGTTATGTGTTTGTTGTGTCAGGATGCTAATGATCAAATTCGCAATGAGCAACTGCGCGAGCTGGCACTGCTCAAGGGCATCCAGGAGCAGTCGGAGACGATTGCATCGGTGCGCTCCGATTCGTTTCCCGTTGCCGAGCACGCACCACGGGCACCTGTGCGCAGTCGTGCTGCCGCAGTTCAGCCCAGGCAGCCGGCCATTTATGCTGCAGCGGCGGCGGCAATGGCGGCGGCCGCTGAGCCACACGACTATGCACCGGTCATGATGGTGCCTCGACAGATGGAGCGTCTGCCAGCAGGCCTCGCCTATGCTAAGGTAGGGCTATGCGCAGGGATGCCTCCGTTGTTGATATAATTGCATTCAATGCGTTGGTTGCACTCGTCCCTGGGTACTTGTGGAGACGTAGCGTATCAATACATGTAGTGTGCTTTCCCCGTGCTTGGGAATGGATAATGCTTGTCAAGCCGTTCTACTTCCGTACTTCCTACTGCCGGGTTTGTCAAGCCGTATTCTACTAGTACTGGTAATTGAGTGGTGCAGGAAGCTATATGGTGCACTGCCCAGCTTAAGTACATATACTGGCTATCAAATCTCCAGCCTTGCAAGCTGTTGGAATGCTGTATTCTCAGTGCCAGTGTGGCTTTGTCTAGCATAGCATGCTATACGCTTACATCGCTCATGATGACGTGTGTGTGTGTGCGTGTGTTTCAGGCTCCATCTTTCGAAGATGCTTACCTGGAATCAGCTGGCCGTAGTAGACGGTAAGACACGTTGCCACATTGATGACTTGCTACTCAATGATGGCCTACATTACATGACACATACGGAAATACAATATAAAGTGGCCCGTTCATGTGTGTGTGTGTGTGTGTGTGTGTGTGTGTGTGTGTGTGTGTGTGTGTGTGTGTGTGTGTGTGTGTGTGTGTGTGTTGGGGAGGGAGTGATATCTGCGCATTCTATCCACTCCTCGCTGCACATTCTTTAGCCCCTTTTTCCCTGTGATTATGTGTTGTGTGGCACCAGGTACAGTGAGTATGCAGAGCCAGCCATACAGATGGTTCCTGTGGTGAGACCAACTGGTGGCTTGTCGGGTGAGTTTGCCCTCTTGTCTTGCAGGGTTTGTTTCCATTCTGATGTCGAGGAGATGGGGTATACTGCTGCCCAATCCTGTAATGAATTCTTGATTCTGAACTTGTCTTTCTGCAAGATTAATCAAGAAGCCCCTTTACTTGAAATCAGACCTGGCTAATAATATTATGTGACACAGGCTCTTCACCAAGCATACTTCTTGTAGAACTCCAAATGGTGTGCGAGTGACTCTTGCATGATGGACTGTCACATAGAACCTAAGTGTGCTATCAAAGAGACCAGAAATGGAGAACATCTGTTGTGCTATTGTAGCAACTGAGAAGTTGAGGGGGTGTTGTTTCTGCAAGAGTCCTTACTTACACCACAGTTACATCTGAGGTTTTTGTTTTGCTTTTTTCCGCCCCCAGCAGCACACTCTCTTCCCAGGACCATGACGGCGCCCAGGACTCGTAAACGCTTTGAGCCCTATCAAGGTGTCCGTAACTCGACGCCTGGCCATTACTGATCTTCGTGAGTTTTACACGCACACACAGCACACCACCACCAGATGCTTGCGCACAGCGCCGGCAATCGCCTTCCCAGCACACGGCGCCACTTTCTTTTCCTACGCTCAGAGTTTTTAGTTGTCATGCCATCAACGTCCATGCCAAGTGTCATCGGCACACGTGATGAAAAGCTAACCTCGCTAACTGCTGATTTTCTAACTCGCACTCCATTTTGGACTTTAACGATTTCTGCTAATCCTCGCACTTAACAAGCTAATGTTCTAATGACGTCATGTTACCTTAACTGCTCGAAATATTTTCCTGACGCTTTTTCAGCTGAATGCGGTTTGAATAACTCTCTATCTCTCTCTCTCTCTCTCTCTCTCTCTCTCTGTCCGTTTGTCGGTCTGTCTTTCCTTCCTTGTTTTGTCTCATCCGAGCGATCGATTTTGATCAGCATACAATTAATGTTTTGAGAACTTTGCTGAGTGACCGATGCAGAATATATGCACGGCTTTTCGCCATTTTTTTAGTTTGAAACTTCTAAGTATACTTTTTCTGTAGAACTCTGTTGATCTGCATGCGGTCAATTTCCTCGTGGGTAACGTCACTAGGTATAATTATGCTGACTGGTATGACTGATCTCTCTCGTTTTATTAATTGGAGAGGAAAGAGTCCTAAGGAATGACTATTTTTAAAATGACCAGATTTCACGGCTCGCGTGTGACTCAGTCAGACTGATTTTCCCGCATCCACATCAAGACCAGATACTGTAGAGAGCAAATATGATTATCTTAGTGAGAACCAGAGTGTTTGAACATTCCTGGTCTCTACAAGTAGTTCGAAGTATAGTTTTGAACGGTCCCCAAAAATAGCAGCCGCCAAACTACTGCAAACGTTTGGTTCACTTGTCGCCGTTTCATACTGGGTACTCTGGCCTCATTAGTGTGCACTCCGGGAACAGGTGAACCCAACCATATTAAGCACTTTAAAAAGAAAGATCAAGAATGCTGTTGCTATATGATAAGAAAATAAGTCGTGCAAAGTGTCGAGACACAGGCTTTTTTTTACCAGCCATCACTGATGTCTGTGCTGGATGAGAAAAAAAGACACCAATTATAGCTCATCAGAGCTGTGAATATTTAACCATCCTTGTGTCAGAATTTTGGAGTGGAGTTTGGTGATCGCAATTTTCCTCGTTTAGAAATGTGGGGATGACCTTGTAGAGGTGTGTCATCTGAAAACTTATCTAATTTTAAAATTAAAGAAGCTGAAGTATAATACAGTGTTGATGTTAGCTTTGGCCTGGATGATAGAAATTTCTTGATAGCTAAAATAGATAATCAAGAGCCACATTTGCTCGTGTTGACTTTGTATGGGGCTAAGCCGTTTACTGACTTTGAATGTTGATCTGAAGCCATGGCAGGGAGAATAAAGTTTAAGCAGAAGACAAAGCTGATCATGAAGTAAAGCTGTGCTAAAACAGGGCAGGCATGATGTGTCTAATGTCTGACCGCCACACATGCGTATGATGCTGCAGGTGCGAACGAGAGCGAGGCCTGAACGAGCAGGGCTTCACGCCCCGTGTGATACTAGTAGCTGACTGTTGGTGTTTGTCACCGTCACCGGACGCTGTGTTGTTCTGCCTCCCTGTTGTGCCTGCCTGCCCTGACTTACTTGTGCATCCGTTAATGTGACTCTCTCCTGGCCAACATGTATATGTTACATGTTACATTCTTCCATGACGATGCTCGATTTTATCGCCCTTTAGTCATCTGACTCGCTAATGTGCCTTCCAGTCAGCCTAACATAAGCCACTGATGAAAGACCAGAAAAAAAGGAATAATTAACTGCCATGAATTGTCTGCCGCCATTCTGCCTTCGTCTAGTTTTCCATTGAAAGTCGTGTCTATTTTTGCATTCGCTTTTTTGTCATGTTGTCATGTTGGCGATGCTTGGTTTGTCTCAGGACTATGTCTTTTATGATCCACTATTTTTGAATGATCACTGGTTCCTCCAAAGATTTGAAAAAAAGACATATTTTACCCTTTCTTTATTGATACTGTTTTGTTGACACAATGCAGAGATTTCTTTATATCATTTTATCACCTTTTCCCCAGTCTTGTTTGGGATGATCTCTTTCCACCTACCCCTATTTTATCCTTCTCACCATTACTAGGATTTTTCATGGTGTACTGTCTTTTATCCCTATCAGCGAAGATCCACGCTATTTTCTCCCAAGAATATCTATCGCCCTTCGTTTTTCCGCGTGGTCGCATGGTACTCGTTCCGTCATCAAAGCACCCGCTCTCTTGTGTTGGGACTTGGTGTATGTATGAGTGTGCCCTGGATCCCACTTTCGTGTTAAAGGGGAAGTTAAGGCAAAAATTAAAATTTCACCAGTTGTAGTCTTCGGGGTGCTGAGTCGAATGGTCTTGGTCCGAGAAAGCTGAGACGCTCCCTTCCTACTTGAATCCCAATCGAACTCGCGCACTTCCACCGAAACTGGGTGACTGCGCCCTACTAGATGGGGATTTGTATGCAAAATGTCACTAAAAGCGCCATTTCGTTCTTATAAAAGCACGGATGACCGCGATTGGCCCATATGTTGTAGTCTTTTGGACGCTGAGTCGACTGGTTTCGGTCCGAAAAGACTGCGATGCAGCGTTCCTCCTTTATTCCCAATCGAACATGGTTGAAGAAGCGGTCACGTGCAACTGGGTGCCCAAATCACCTGGTCACCACGCCAGCAGGCGACAACTTTCACACCAAGGTTCAACTCGAGTGACAGGACTGTACCCAAAAAAGGTCAAACAGGCTAGTAAGTTGTACCCTGCAGGCACGGTGACCAGGTGACTGGTGTACGCAGGAGCACGTGACCGCTTGTTCGACCATGTTCGATTGGGAATAAAGGAGGAACGCTGCATCGCAGCCTTTTCGGACCAAAACCAGTCGACTCAGCGTCCAAAAGACTACAACATATGGGCCAATCGCGGTCATCCGTGCTTTTATAAGAACGCAATGGCGCTTTTAGTGAGATTTTGCATACAAATCCCCATCTCACCCAGTTTCGGTGGAAGTGCGCGAGTTCGATTGGGATTCAAGTAGGAAGGGAGCGTCTCAGCTTCCTCGGACCACGACCATTTGACTCAGCACCCCGAAGACTACAACTGGTTAAATTTTAATTTTTGCCTTAACTTCCCCTTTAAAGGGAAAATACTGAGTATATGCCACTTACAGTGTATGGCTTTAGAGATACATATTAAACTGAGCTAACATTTGAAATATGATTTGTAGAATTAATCGATAAGTACTTCGATCTCTAGCCCAGCAGAAAGGGCAAAAAGCGGTTTAGATAGACTTTTTGTGTGGACTCTTGTGTATAACATGGCGTAGTAAGTGGGTCATTTCTAAAATAGCTAGGAAAGCAGCAGTGTTTCGATTCTGTTGAATATAAGGCCATGACTTTGAAAGTGCAGACACATGGTATATTTTCTCACTGCAAAATATGCACTCTTCTAAAGCCATACATTGTAAGTGGTATATTTCTCTTGTTGTGTACTCTTGCTATCGGCAAACAGAAAGTCGTATGCGACACCGTATGTACCGATGTCCGCACCAGGGAGTTTATAACTGAGATAACATTTGAAATATGATTTGTAGAATTGATCAATAAGTACTACAATCTCTAGCCCAGCCATGGCTTTATAATCGAATATACTGCTGTGGGTGTGTAGGTGCGAACCAGGGAGTCGTAACATATTTTACGACTCCCTGGTGCGGACATACGGTACATACTATGTCGCATACGACTTTCTGTTTGCCGATAGCAAGAGTGCACAACCAAGTGTGTGCAGCTGCTGTGTTGAGTGCGATGGGGTTGCCCGCGTCATTTTTGACACAGTATGATCAAGTGTGCATGCTTTTCCGCGCTTGTCTTGAGATCCTAGTCAGGGAGTCGTAAAATACCGTTTTTACGACTCCCTGATCCTAGTACTGTGTCAGTTCATTGGGTTCGGGATGCATGGATCTCCCCGTGTTCTGCTTCGGCTACCGTAGCTGCGATTTACAGCTTCCTTGTGGTCTCTGGTTACGTGCGACAGCATCAGTGAGTCAAATGGCGGTCAAAGACTGATGTTAAAAAATCCTGCTTGGGCCGAAGGCCCGTCATCGAGTTGCACACTCTTGTAGTCTTGGTACTGTGCAGCTCCTACAAGGGCTCAGCTGTGGGTGAGTGTGATCCTGCACAAATCACTGGTGACTGCACAGTGACCTCTCAGAGTATGCACTATTATGTTACCACAGCATTCATGGGCATGTGCCCCAACCTACTCCAGTGCGAAACAGTACTGATTTGGCTTGGATTTGTCCTGGCCTAGATCTGGACTAATCTGCATTCTGGCGCTGCATGACCGTATTTGGATCCATGTTTAACATACCAATGGCCCGTGTGCCAGGAAATGGCGGTTGCCACATGCTGTCTGTCTTTACAGGTTCTCACGGTGGCCTTGTGTTATCAACCCTGGCTCCACATTACAGTGTATCAGCTAACCATGCAGCTGTGATGTACTCTTATCTCACACCACCAGGCATGATTACCAATACTTATTTATCAGGTAGAATCAGGGAGTCGTACCCAAACCTGGTTAGGGTACGACTCCCTGTGTAGAATGCACTCTGTGCTGAATGAATACAGATGGTGCACAGCAAGGCACCATATTTTAAATATTATCATCCATTCACTACATCTGGGCGAAAGAGCAGGTGATGCGGGCAATGGTGAAGAGCAGTCTTCCACTTTAGGTATAGTACAATGTACTTCGTGGAAAGGGATACACTCATGCAGATTCCACCCACCTGGTTGACCAACGCCTGCATGCCTATCACCCACAATATTATTATTAGACACCAGAACTGATAGACCATAAAGAAGTGTGAAAAAAAGTGTCGATATTTTCGCACTACCCCTTGGCAAATTAAACGCCCCGAGATACTGAAAATTGCCACCACTGGGGGTCAGGCGGTCATTCTTACACTGCCCTTGTCCCTTGACCCCTTGTATTTAGGTATCAGCAAGAGTACATAACCCCCCTGGGGTTATGTACTCTTGGTATCAGGTTACACACTAGCCGGATCTGGACAAGTCGAGGGAGCCCTACACAATACACACCTGTATGTTGCTCATTTTGCCATGGGAAACATGGCTGATCACTATTTCACTATACCATCATGCATAAAAACATCAAAAGAACATGAAATAATTATGCGCTGCAAGTCAGTTTAGTCCGTGTATAGAGCTGTGCACGCTCAGAGTTTACCATTAGTGCATTACACTGTATCGGCACCAGTTCTGCCAATACTATGGTTGAATCTGCCAATGGTGGTTACTAGTAGCACCCTTGAGATCGCAGGTAAACAGAGCAGGCAAATTTCCGTACAGTGCAGCCATACGGCTTCATACGTGTAGTCTAATTATTTCCCTTCCACAGATGTTATGAAACCGAAGACGGCGGCCAGCTGGGAAGCAGCATCACAAGCACAGCAAAGAGTACAGACTTGGCATCATCAAAACAGACATGCAACATTGAATTACCTCAGAAAAGTAGACAAAGACAGATCTGTTTGGCGGAAATGGGGGAAAAACGTCTCAGGCGACAATTTCAAGGAACTAAATAAACAGGTTGAAAACCAGACTAGGAGAATACACACCTCCACAGATGTCACAGTGAAAAATCGGTTTAAAATGACAGTTCGGACTTCAGTACAGCAATGGCGTTCTTCAGCCGGCGGGCTCTAACAAGCACAATCAAACATGACACTAAAACGGTATTGCCGGCGGAATGCATCACGCATCCAGCCCACAGTCGGCCATCGTCGCCATGCTGTACAGTCCACTGCCAGACACTACAAGGTGCGCATGTGCTGGCAACGTGTTGCCCAGCGGCACACACGCACGCACGCTTAGATAAAAAAATGAAAGAAAGACAGAAACTTACGCCAGTGGTGCAGTGCAGCTCTGCCCGCTGCCCGGGGATCTTCAAATTTGTGAACAGTTTCGGTATGAGAGAGGTGTGGCGTCAGTGATTGAAGCTTGGTAAACAGTGACCAGGCGGTGACTTCATCACATGAGAGAGCATTACAGAGGCAAGCTACGAAGTATGGCTGCAAATTTTAGGAACGTCTACTAGTATTATGAGTTATGAGCATTCAGGTAAGTTTACGTGAAGCGAGTAAGGCAAAGTCACTGGTCAGGGCAGTTGGTGATTATCATCATCAGCCCAGGTTTATCAGGGTGGTCATGCGTCGTCGCTGGTGTCATTGGATTCCGTGTTGGTGCCACTGCTCTCCTCTTCATCCTCGGAGCTGGACGACGACAGCTTGGAGTCTCCGCTGATCACCGACGGGCATGTGGAAATATCAGGCGACAGCGTTACGCCAATCTCCTGAATAGTGGACGGGTTCATCGAGTCACTCTCCACCTCCGGCGAGAAGAGAGCGTGAAGCCGGAACTTGTTGGCCACGTGCTTGTGGTCCTTGCAGGCGCGATCCAGGTCCTTCTTGGGCAACGAGATCACAGTCATCTGCTGCGAGCCGTCGTTGTTCATGTACGTAGGTGCATGGTCCAGCGTGCCGCGCCGAGACAGGTCAATCGGATTGTGCTGCTCCGCCGGTATGGCGTACGGCACCAGCTGCAGGTCGGACGCCAGCTGCGACGTGCGCATCGAGTACAGCCCATCGTCGCCGTGCTGCATGGCCGCGTGAATGAAGTACGTGTTGAGCCAGCAGTGGAACGCCTTCTGCTTCTTGCCCAGACGTGCGAAAAAGAACTCGGTCTTGATATCTTCAGTTACGGCGACCGGCGAATCCAGTTCCATGAACGTTTGGCCGTCCTTGCGCCGGATATCCACCTCGTAGAACCTTGAGACCAGTGTCCTCTTTTTACCTTGACTAATTTTGTAGAAAATGGAGTAGTTGCCCATATTTGAGTACGCTGGCACACCGTCAAAGATGAAACCGTACAGGAGAAGCTTGACGGGACGAATAGTCAGCTGCTTGATTTTCCGATATCCATAATACTCAACGTAGCGTCTTTGGCTGGGAATGGTGACACCTTTTCCATTCTGCGTCCGCTTCAGGTCGTAGAACATGAGTGCCTCTGGAACAGCCTTGAAGATGTTTTCATGAATAAAAAACGCACAAATCATCACGCCCGTGCGGCCTTTGCCTGCTTTGCAATGTACCGCCGCCACATTCCTGCTGTCGGCGTTCAGATAACTAGACACATCACTGCAGAAAGCGTCAAATAATGGGAACGGAGGAGCGTTGTGATCCTCGAACGGATAGCAAGCCACTCTTCCATGGAACTTTGAAGCATCGTACGTTCTTTCCGCACATAGATTGTAAACCTTGTAATTGTCTCCATGATAAGAGTCCAGAAAACGCACTACTTCATCCAAGTTATTCCGGTAGATTCCTTCTATGCTTTCGGATGGGAAGCCCATAGCCAGGATGTTGGGTCGAATATAGGTGAGGTCCAAATCGTATCCATTTTCGGTAAAGCGCCTTTTCTTCTTCGACACCAATCGCTTGAGCTGCTTAGCCATGGCATTTCATCTCGGTCACAGAAATCCGGGTCAGCTCCAATTTTTTTACACGAGAAGAAGATGAGTCCGGTGAAAGAGCATAGAGGTGTTCGTCTAAAGGATAGGATTCACGCCCGGACTCCGTGTTCCTCAGCTCCTCAAGAACTTCTGCTCCTTTCACTTTCCGTCGAAAAACGCCCAACGGTGTTTTTCTGTGGTCACACCAACCTGCCCAGCTCCACGGCCAGTGCCACACTCTGCAGCAACCAGCAAATTTGCCGAGCCTGCTGCGTAGTCCGTAGTGTGTATTGTCGTACAGCGCTGGTTGTACGGAGTCTGTACTCACCAGCAACACCGCCGCAGCGGGATCGATCGGGGATCCGGGAGCGCTGCGCTGAGCTGCGCGCTGAACAGTGAACACACAGTGCTGGAGCGATCACTTCAGAGTTCAATATTTCAAAACAAAAACGCATGCGCGCTGTACTGGGGTTTGCACCGCTCCCCACCGGTGCACCCCGCTCGGATCGACCGCCTGCAAAGACCAGCGCGCGCGCGCACGTCTGGTACGCTCGTGCTCTGAGTCTGATGTTGACTACGTCACGTGTGTCTGTGGCGTTGACAGATCTGCAGAGTGGTGTTTTTTTATCCTGACTTGCTGCAAGTAATTACAATAGTTATACCGTTCAGCGTTCTCACTGTTGCAGCCCCGGCTGACCAGCTCTCTTTCTCTCTCAGTTGGAGTCCCCGCTCCGGCGATCCCGGATCCCATCTGCAGTAGCTTTAGCATTCACCATTATCGGCATTAATTTTGTTACAGTACTTCCCATACATCTTCATCCACACAGCAATCACGATGCTTTGAATCATCGGAAATGGCAGCTGTGCACGTGCATGCAGTGGAGGAAAGCTAGCCTGTAAGTGTAAGTGTAAACGTGCAGTTCTGAACAAATGGTTTTCATCTGCCGCTTGAGCAGGACATTCCTCATCGATATATCCTGGACATCGGGAAAACACCCGAATCTCACAATACACGATGCCCCTCCGTCACGAGTCGTAAGCTGTCCAAGTTAGTTACCAGGTTACTGGTGAGACAGTCACACTGTACTAGTATTAGTCTGAATCAGAGTAGAGTCACCGCATGAGAGATCAGCTTACTACTAGATTTTAGCCGTTCAAGGTCAACTACAAAACTGGCTTTCTATTCATTTTCGTGCTGTCACTGTACTGTGTCAGTGCAGTGTGACTGGGAATGTCTGTCAGCCACAGTCGGATTGCCGCCGTGAGACCGTGTTGCGTGTTACTTTATTACTTTTGGTTGGTTTTGGTCCGAAAAGGCTGCGATGCAGCGTTCGGCCCTTATTCCCAATCGAACGCGGGTGAGTAAACGGTCACGTGCTCATGCGTACACCAGTCACCTGGTCACCGGTGCACCGTGCCCGCAGGCTACAACTTTTACAGCGTTCCTGTCACTCGAGTTGAACCTTTGAAGTTTGAACCATTGAGTTGAATCTTGGTGTGAGTTATGGCCTGCGGGCACGGTGACCAGGCGACTGGTGTACGCACGAGCACGTGACAGCTTATTCAACCGGGTTCGATTGGGAATAAGGGCCGAACGCTGCATCGCATAAGAAGGAAACGGCGCTTTTAGTGACTTGTTTGCATTCAAATCCCCATCTAGTAGGGCTCAGTCACCCAGTTTCGGTGGAAGTGCACGAGTTCAATTGGGAATAAAGGAGGAAGGGAGCGTCTCAGCTTCCTCGGACCAAAACCATTCGTCCCAGCACCCCGAGACTACAACTGGTGAAAAATTGTTTTTATTGTATACTTCCCCTTTAACTTTTGAGATACTACTGCTTTCCATGCTGACCTTTTCAGCGGACATCATCACCATTGCATGCCCTCCACTTTTTATTGTTCACCGTGATCATTTTGATAACAAACGCACCTGCCACCAACACACCAGTGTAAACCAAGGAACATGACAAGGGAAGGGAATCTTTGGTCGATTGCACTGTAAATGTGAACAGGAGTCTGCAAGTGAACAGGAGTCTGCAAGTCCACGAAGCCAGCAGCATGGGAGCAGTAACTGGCATTACAGACTGTGTATACTACTCCCCGATTAAAAGAATAATCATTAGGGGTGAAACGAGTATATCGAATACTCGAGTACTCGCTCGAAAATTTCAAACGAGCGAATGCTCGTTTCGCAAAATACTCGAAGTATCCTATTTACAGTGTATTGTATACATGTACATCAAGCATTTCTGTTACTCTGACTGGTACTGATGGTCCATGCAAGCACAAAATTAATGCTTGTCCCTACTTACCAGCGAAAGACAGCAGTTCAGACTATTTCCTGCACTAGGCTGCATGCAAGACTACATGTGTATCGGGTGTACTACGTTCGGTGGTGCGAGAGTGTGTGCAGTGCATTGTTTTATGTTGTCAGTTAAATACTCGTACTCGCTCGAATACTCGCTCGTTTTTTCAAAGAGTACTCGAGTCCCCAATTTCGGCACTCGTTTCACCCCTAATAATCATGGCAGTGGTCACATGCTCTTTTACAACTTGTTACTTGCAGCATTAATCCGAAGTGCTGGGCGGTTTCCGATTTGAAAAACAAACATGGGTGTTTGCAGCTACAGTGGTGTAGAGGTGCCACGCGCAGTCTGGAATTATGTACTAATATTTATAGTAAGTTGTTCAAGTAGACTGCATGTAGATCTACATACATGTACCTGTCAATGATACATGCGTGCACTGTATTTTTTGGCCATTCAATTCTTTCGTTTTCACCCTGGTGACGGGCAGCGTCCAAGATATTAACCAAGAACTCAGCGTGGGGATTGAACAGGAAGGTGTAGTTACTACCCGAGGTACTTCTTCTGATCTGAACACACCTCAATATGGAGCAATACACTCGTGACCTAGACGATGTTCATAAACAAAGCAAGTGTGTGTCCGAGGCTTACTAGAGACTGAGTACAGTACTGTAGGGCGCCGAAGAACAACCAGCCCAGAATTTCACCAAGCACAGTACAGTCAGACCTCACATAACCGCACACATCTGAGAAAATATCTGGATAGGCGAGGGAACCGGATAATCGAACACACATACTGTATATGTGCATGGCATGTGCTGTAAATCGGTGACCAACGATTTTCTTCCGGATGGCGAGGGATCCGGATAAAAGAGGATCGGATAAGCGAGGTCTGAATGTATACCAATGTATACACCCCCACACGATGAGTCGTCAACTGTGCATAGACTGCTATACTGTACATGGAAATAAGAACGGTCTAGGCTAGGAAGCTGACACCCTAGTTCAGTCTTCGTCGACCGACAGTACTGCACGCACTAGATGAGTTCCACTGTATGTGGGCATTGTCACTTTGTGTCTGAGATGACTGCTGATACAGAATAGCCCAACAGATCATGGTAAATACTAATGCATTATCCACTACATGTATGCATTACACGACTGGGCACAGTCAAGTCCCCGGCAGAGGAACCAGTGAGTCCGACTTGAAAGCGCAAAGGTGGTGACATCATTGTGGCATGCGAACTCGTGCCTGTGGCATGAAAGCTGAGCAATCATGCCGGTGCTGAAAGTCCTTATCACCTCTGTTTGTCTCCTTGTGTTGTCAAACATTGCCATCAGATTCTTGCGTTTTTTTTTCACCTAGCCCAGCACTCAGTGCATGCACTTTCTTGTTTGTGCTCACCAGGGAGTCGTAAAATGGTATTATACGACTCCCTGGTGCTCACTTCATACCTTCGTCAGGAAGTGCGATAACTAAGCACAAAGCTGACAGGGGTACTGTTACATTTCGGGGGCTTGGTGGTCATCTAAATATTCCGGATCTTCCTCCAAACAGACGGTGAACACCATACTGCTGCAATGTAAAGGTGGAATTTTTGACAGTCCCCAACCATGGACAGTGTGCCCCCCCCCCACACCTTGTGACATGCTGTCATCATCATCATCATCATACTGTACAGCCTTCCTCCTCTAATGCACCTTTGCACAACGGCTGAGGTCTTCTCTTGCCTCTGCGTGTCCTCAAATGGATTTCGCTCCGCAATGGCACTGAGTAGACCTCAATTTATACTCCACGTTATGCGCTGAGAACACAGCGCATGCCCATTGCGGCGGAAAAGATGACTTCTGCGCACCATCACGTGTAGTGAAGTATAAATCTGGCTTCAGCTGATCAGTACTACCGCTACTGCTCTCACAGTCACAACAGTGTACAGACTACACAGATCTGCCACGTGCACTCCCACAGCTGGAACTGTCAGAATATTTAGTAACCGTACTAACGTCTCCTCGGAACAGCATGATGATTCACAGGGTGGGTTTGCTGACTACTGCTGGCAGAGCCAGGCATAGTATCGACACCATCGAGGGACGTAAATCAGAACAGTTGAGGCGATCAGAAAAATGCAGAATTGAAACCATGGCACACAAACTGTTAGTATTATTACAATAGCGAGAATCAGTCCCAGACAGTATTATTACCGTATGTACACCTGTGCTGGGAGACGCGTGTGATGTTTTTAAAAGCATTAGAGGCAGTAACTTCGGCCCTGCTGTCACAATCATGCATGCAGCACAGGAGGAGGCCGAAGAGCAGCAGCATAAGTCGGGATTTTGACCAGAACTATCAAGCAGTGGAGGTATGAGGCGGATGGATGAGAGCAGCGTATCACTGTAGTGGCAGCAGGGATCAGCAGTTTGATTCGAATATTAGATAATAGAGGACAACCCAATCTGGTACACGACTTGCACATGAATCAATGAAGCCCGGAGCCACGCTGGGTTCACAAAACAGTTTAAACGGATTAAAAAAGGAGGTAAAAGTGGATAATCGAGCACACGCAAGTTCAAAAACACAGTATTACTGGAACTACTGACTTTTAGGTCAGCGGATATGGCTATCTTGCAAAACGACGTGTCCAGTCGCGTGCCATGCGATCGTGCCCGCTTCGATCACCAGTGAACTGGCGAGCAATGTTGGCAACGAGCGGGTCACTCGGATTGCAGTCAGCAAGCAGAGACGTGATGGACAGCAAGACTTTGCTGACAGTCATGGCCGGACTCCAGTTGTCCTTCAGGATATCCAAGCAAATCTCACCCTGTGCATGTGTAAGTAGCAAGTAGAGCACAGTGGAAGTTAGAATTACGGCAGGTACTCATGTAGCACGCATGCAGGATTCACATGAATCTCAGATGTACATTCTCTCTCCCTACAAATTATAACATGCTGCGGAACGAACAAGAAAGTAGCCTAAAAAATTTAAAAAAAGAAGTGCTGTCCGAGTAGGTGTCTACTGTCTATCATCCAGATCTCCAGCTCTCTCTTGCTGGCATTGCTGGTCTCTGCAATGTAGCATGAGATCATGAAATCAATACACCCACCACATCACACACACATGCCAAAACAAAACAAAGGAGATAATCTTCATTCCTGTGATGTCCTGACCGTACCTGGCTGTTAATGTTGCAGTGGTATATCCGCGTCTTGAATGTCACCTGGCGTACAAAGCAGCGAACAAAAAAACAGAAGGAGCTCAGCAATCATGAATCAAAACTGGCTGGACAGCCGTTGCACTGGACATCTGCGCACTGGAGCTGTGATTGTCTTGCACCGCTAACCTACAGCTGTCTCAAGTCAAACTAACTGACCAGTATCACAAGAACATGCAGCAGACTGAGAATCATACGCATTCATTCCTCCATAATGGGACACTATGAAAGAGGCTTCAACAATCATAACGGGACATTCACATGCCATGTTTCTTGAAATATGCCCTGTGAGACTTAATACTAAGGCTGTGTTTACATGAAGCGTTTCAACCCGGGTTGAGTTTGACCCGGGTCAGATTTCAACCCGCCATGTGCACAAAGTGAATGGCGCGTTTACATGACGCATTGCGCTTGACCCGGGTTGAAATTTCGCCCCGGGTTGTGGGGGGAGGGTTGAAATCAACCCGGGTCAAGAAAATCGTACAAACGTACTTCTGTGCGTATCTCGCGCCAGGTTTGAACAGCACTGCAGATGCAAATTTCGCGCGAACGGATTCACGTGACCATACAGGACTGTAGAAGTGGACTTTTGGTGGCATATCAGTATTTGACCCGGGTCAACTGTCTTCATGTAAACGCTCACCTCTTTGTCTGTCGTACAGACTTTCAACCCGGGCTGAACTCGACCCGGGTTGAAATTTCTCATGTAAACACAGCCTAATAGATGATATGCCAAATAACGTTCAGCTAGACCTGGGAGGGCATTGCAGAGTAGTTGCACACAAAGTTCAAAGTTGTACGGTTACCTGTGACTTGTGCTCCTGCAGATCATGAGCATATCAGCAGAGCTCAGGGCCTACTGTGTACACATTGTAGTATACTTATGCAACTGGTGTGCAATGTCTTCCAAGGCCAGTTGCACGTTATTTGGCATATCATCTATTTCTTGAAGATTATTCAAGACGAGGGAGGAGGAGGGGTGAAAGGGTTAAAGGGGAAGTTAAGGCAAAACCAAAATTTCACCAGCTGTAGTCTTCGGGGTGCTGAGTCGAATGGTCTTGGTCCGAGAAAGCTGAGACGCTCCCTTCCTACTTGAATCCCAATCGAACTCGCGCACTTCCACCGAAACTGGGTGACTGCGCCCTACTAGATGGGGATTTGTATGCAAAATGTCACTAAAAGCGCCGTTTCGTTCTTATAAAAGCACGGATGACCGCGATTGGCCCATATGTTGTAGTCTTTTAGACGCTGAGTCGACTGGTTTTGGTCCGAAAAGGCTGCGATGCAGCGTTCCTCCTTTATTCCCAATCGAACATGGTTGAACAAGCGGGCACGTGGTCCTGGGTGCCCAAATCACCTGGTCACCACGCCAGCAGGCGACAACTTTCACACCAAGGTTCAACTCGAGTGACAGGACTGTACCCAAAAAAGGTCAAACAGGCTAGTAAGTTGTACCCTGCAGGCACGGTGACCAGGTGACTGGTGTACGCAGGAGCACGTGACCGCTTGTTCAACCATGTTCGATTGGGAATAAAGGAGGAACGCTGCATCGCAGCCTTTTCGGACCAAAACCAGTCGACTCAGCGTCCAAAAGACTACAACATATGGGCCAATGGCGGTCATCCGTGGTTTTATTAGAACGAAATGGCGCCTTTAGTGACATTTTGCATACAAATCCCCATCTAGTAGGGCGCAGTCACCCAGTTTCGGTGGAAGTGCGCGAGTTCGATTGGGATTCAAGTAGGAAGGGAGCGTCTCAGCTTCCTCGGACCACGACCATTCGACTCAGCTCCCCGAAGACTACAACTGGTGAAATTTTGATTTTTGCCTTAACTTCCCCTTTAATACAGACTGGGGCTTATTTTAAGGGGATTACAATTTTCATGTCCATCATACCACCTCGCAAACTTTTTAACTTTCAATATTGGAAGTTCGCCTTCTTTTTTAGTTTTTACCATAATGCAGTGTACAGCACATGATTGCAGTTGACAGCTGTCATCACATCAATGATACTGTCATACAATACGCGTCACTGATCACAGTCAGCCTTTCGAATAATGGCAATTGGCTGGGCTCCGCGAATTAAGTGGGCTTTTTAAACAGATGAAATTTGGACCCGCAAAAGGCATAACATTTTTTCAGAGTATGATCAAAAGTGAAAGCGGGAACAAAAGAAATTAGAGAAGACATTCACCAAGAAACATTTTCCAAATTTCACTCCCATCTTGCCAATAACCTCAACACAGTCGATATGGCCCCTAAAAGGTGGTACCACCCAGCCACTTAAAGTGCACGTAGTGACCATATTATATTGGAAAAATGAAGTGTCTACTTGATTGTGCGGATTTGCGTCTTTGCATGCGAAGGTGTAGTTTGCGAAACATACTTGAAAGGAGAATATTATTTCAGGACTTCGAAGACTTCAAAAAGAAGTGATTCAACTTTGGTCATAGATTTCACTTTGTATACCAGTATCGATCTCCAGGAAGCGTGGGCATATTCTATTGAAAAGGCGATATAATATTGCAGGCCCGTCGCACCAACTTTGGAGGTGGGGCGGCCATGGGGTCCTCCCCCGGAAAAAAATTTCAAAAATTGAAGCCAATTGCAAGCATTTCCGGGTATTTGGTGCCATTTCAGTGTATGGTAACTACAATGAAAGTCTTTTTGATTCTGCAACAAACGAAGAAGACGCTACGATCGGGGACAAACGTTACCCTCCCCCGGGGAAAAAAATTCAAAAATTGAAGCCAATTGCAAGCATTTCCAGGCATTTGGTGCCATTTCAGTGTAACTTCAATGAAAGACTTTTTGCAACAAACCACGATCGGGGACAAGGATTTGTCACGTTTGCGCTAAGCTGCGCGTGCGATCATTGTGCTTTGTTGTAATGTGTTCCAAAAAAAAAAAAAAAAAACGGTCGAAAAAGTGGGGCGGCTGAGGCCCCGGCTGTGACGGCCTTGTATTGTGTTGGAAACACCCACAGCCCAGGTTAAACTGCTATCACTCATACCTTTGGTGGCTCAAATGGATAGTTGCTCGGGAACAGGATGTTGAGAAAGAAGACGCCGCCTTCGTACACAGACCCAGGCGGTCCCATGATCGTGGCCAGCCAATGATCCACCCTCTCACTAAACAAGGATGCACTGCAATCAAAACAAGTGTATGCAGTCAAACATGGCGCAGCATGAGTTTTCTGCCACACTGGAGTGGAGAAAGAGACAGTGCTAGCTGTAGTACAATACAAAGTGATGACACTAGGTTACATTATTAGGGATTACCACCAGTCACTTGACTGCAGAAATGTAGACGGTGACACAAAATGTCTTCGAGAACATATAATATTCTCTGCGGGTTCAGTATTCTCGGCATTATCATACGTTAATCCCCTTGTCGAGCATGCACACACTCTAAACACCATCATCGCACATGTGATAAATGCATTGGTACGATAAGCTCAGTGACCGTGCCAATATCGAATACTTACACATTTGCACATCACACCCACAGCAAAATGGTCACAAGTGGACATGAGTACAGGGGCACGGCCAGGACCATGATCAAGGGGTAGGGGAGGGAGTGGGGGGGGGGGGGGGGGGGATACATTATTTCCCACAAAATCTCATGTCTTGGGCCCTTTCTTCATTGCTATCTCCAGTATCCAGTATAATTGTTTTACCCCTAGTTATTATTAGAGTCACAACGCTCTGCAATTTCCAATGCCTATTGTTTTAAAATCACGCTTCCACACAAACCTTATGATACAATGTATACCGTCGCAGCATCCTCCTGGACAGTAAAACTGCAAATTTACTTTAGAATTATTTTGCGTTAATTTCACAAGGCGAGCAGAGAGATCGACTGTATATTCTAAACTGAAGTTTGATCAGGGCTACTACTTTCCGAATTTTCAGTCCCTGGCTTTAAAATTAACGAAAACAAGTCCTTTAGCGAAAGGCCGAACGTTTTCACCAACAAAAATTGTACAGTAAGATCTGTAACTAAAGACCACCGTGACTAGCGACCTGCCTGGCACTACAGACCACTTCGCCAGGCACGGACGGTCTCACATTCATACATGGTTGTGCGGTGCAAACCTCTAACTAAGGACCACCTGCCACTAAAGACCACTTTATCTGGCCCCAAGGGGTGGTCGTTAGTCACAGGTTTTACTGTCCTTGTACTGTATTTCTAGGTAAAGGGCTGCTTGATTCTATGTACCTACTCATCTACAAGGTACTACTTGTATGTATACTGTATAGTCAGTAATGTTTCTGTCCTCACCAAATACATCAGTGTATTGGCATCACTGTGTAGTGCGTATGTATTGTTGTAACTGGACTCAGCACTGTACTACAGTGAACTTCGAGAATAACAGAATTTCCATACCCAGAGCAAAGTCACATCTAAGTTGATGATCTAACTGTAATACAAAAAAAGAGACTTCGGGTGTAAGGACACTTCGCGAATAAGGACACTTTCTGATGCCCCGCCGAGTGTCGTTGTACGCAAAGTTGACTGTACTCGGCCACAACCCACATGTTCGGTCCTCCACCTTCTTCCATCATACGATTAGTAATATTACTACATGTATTAATAGGTCGCGACACTGAGTTATGTCTTGTCTCATGTCACCATCTGTGCATACGCGGTTCGGGCACACGCGCGTGCTCGCGGCTCGCGCGAACTGAACCATGTGAACCGTGAGCAGTACTTTCATCCATATTTGCATGCAACCTGCCCTTATTCATACATGTAGTATGATGTACTGATAGTGTAGCCAGTGCTGTTGTTAGTTTATGTTTCGCAAGTGGAGACAAGTTGTAGTTTGTTTTCCTCTGCTCGAATGATGTGTTTGTTCTTGCAATAAGTCCTTCCGAATAATACCTTTCTCCTTGTCTGAGTCCTGTTCCATCGTGTCTGTTGTGAGAGTCAAGTGACTTTATTAGTGAGGGTTGTGATAGCCCGGACAGCACGAGATTACGAGTCCAGTGATCCGACATTCTGGTCCTTCGAGCCGGATCCTGTTGCGATTCGTCAGGTATGGACACATCGGAACATCAGACATCAGAAGTGGACGACGGAGCGAGCGTTGCTTCTCCTCGTGAGGAAGCTGCTGCTGCCGCCGCCGCTGAGGACACGCTCGGAGAGTCAAGACATTCGAGTGATGTTTCGGTTCTCGAGAAGCTCGTGAGAGATCGAAGCAAATTGAAGAGCAGTTTCACCAGAGTGGCTGGCGAGTTGCAGCGGGAGTTTGCTAAAAGAGCACCAAGTCTGCGGTACCTAGCTAGAGATTTACAAGAAGCTGAGCAACTAGATCAAGAGATTCGGGAGCTGGTTACCAGACACAGGGAAATCTTGGAGTCAAGAGATGACGACCGGGAACTGCTCAAACTAGATGGTTGGGACAGGGCGTACAGGACGCAGCGATCCTTCCTCTCCGATGTAAGCTCATACGTAGAGCGTGAGGAAAGGATGCAGGCTTCAACACGTAGTCCCTCCGTTGGTGTTGGCAGAAGCAGTTCCAGGTCAAACTCGAGAGGCACCCTGGACTTGGATGCCATGGAACAAATGTTGATGGTAGCAGAACGTGCGCCGAATTCTGATATCCCTGGTGCCATTGGTCACACTTCGTTGCAGATGAGCAACAAGAGTCCTGTCACTGCAAGTGCTGCTGAAGTCCATGAAAGCAGTCTGGATGGCGTGCCTGCTGGCAATGCTGGTCATTCATCAAGTGGTGCTGGGCACCCAGCCATGCAGACTGTAAGTTCTAGTCTTGCTATTATGAGTGGCAGAAGATCAATGCCTGTGCTTGGTAGGACAACCCCTTCTTTGTCACCTCTACAAGTCAATAGGCCAGGTAGTGTATTGGGTACACTCACTGCATCCAGTAAGTTGGCTGGTACTACTACTAGTAGAAGTCAAGCAAGTGTGACCACCAGGTCAAGGGCACCTCAACTGGCTCTGGGTGTGGGTACACAAAGTGTGAGTGCTGTGCAAGTTGCTCAACAGCATCAAGTATTAGTTTCTGCTGTGAACAGTGGCAGTGTACCGTCAGTACCTGTGCCAGTGGCAGCTCCCTGTGCTCCACCAGTGCTAATGTCCGCACCCACAGCCACCATGCAGCTACCAACAGTGCATCAATCGGTAGCCACAGTTAGCAACACTGTGCCTTTTCCAAGTTATTGGTCAGGCCAGCAAGCATGCACCCAGGCGATGCCACCACTGCAGCCCGCGCTGCTGCAGCAGCCACAGCCGCAGACAGTTGCACCTATTGTTTCAAAACTGCCAATTTTCAATCCAGCAGCTGGACAGCTCAATCCATCGGCCTCATCGTTCAAGCCCATAAGTAGGCCAGCAGTGACCCTGCCTGTAACAGCACCAGTAACTGTTCAGTCGACACAGCTTCCACCATCCTACAAGCCGCCCACCATGCCGGTAGTAATAGAGCAAACTGTGAAGCCCATGGAACTGCCTAAGTTCAGCGGACTGGACCAGGACTACATTCCGTGGCGCCAAAGGTTCATCCGCGTCATCCATGAAAATCCCCGGTACACGAGCGATCACAAACTCGCGAGGCTGCGTGAGGCAGTGGATGGAGGCCGTGCTGCGGAGATTGTGAGAGGGATTCTGGATGGCCCGGACGCCTACAGCCATGTATGGACCGAGCTCGATGCTTGGTACGGTGGTAGCGACAGGCTAATAGAGCACCAGATTCGGGATGTAGTGAGTCAAGCACGTATTACCAGTGACGCAGACTTGAGTGGGCTGCAACGGTACGCCATCAAGCTCCGTACCACTGTCGCCAACCTCCGAGCAAGTGGTGTGAGTCCTGGAGTAGAGCTGTACATAATGGCGTCCGAGAAGGTACCCAAGCGTCTCTTGGTAAAGTATTTCGAGAGGCATGGCCAGGTCAATGACGTCTTCACGTTCTCTGCATGGCTGGTGGAGCACGTCCGCACTCTGAAGCGGGCAGCCGACAGGATTCCCACTGAACGCCCCAAAGACATCAGCAGTCAGGCTACCAGGGAACGATCCACGGCCACACACCGTACGTTTGTTGGGACTCATGACGCCGTCAGCAGCGGTGCCAAGGCATCTTGCAAGAAGTGCAGTGGGCAGCACACCCTAGCCGAATGCAGCAGCTTCAAGGCATTGCCAACTAGCAAGCGTTGGGATTTGGTGAGGTTGCTCGAGCTGTGTGCGTGTTGCCTGTCATCTGGGCACTGGGCCGCTAGCTGCAGCAAAGACACCTGCAGTAAGTGCAACAAGCGGCATCATGGTTTGCTGCATGCTGAGATGAAGGGCCAGACAGGTGCGAGGCGCGGGCGACCCTCGCCAGCTCAGAGGTCTGTCACCAACCATTCTTCCTCGTCCACAGCCAGCCGTACTGGAGCTGGCTCCATTGGCAACTCTGCTGCGGTGAACGAGAACAGCCTCAGTACGCATGGATGTGGTACCACTGCCGCATTCATGGTGTTGCAGGCCGACGTCATCGGCGAACATGGCAAGAAGATGAAGGCCACTGTGCTGCTTGACTCCGGATCGTCTTGCAGCTACATAACAGAGGATGCAGCTCACAAGCTGGAACTTGAAGGCCCGAAGTCACAAGTGGAAACGGCAGTCATCGGCGGCGGCAAGGTGACTGGGCTGAGACAACAGGTCAGCGTCAGCGTGTGCCGCACTGATGGTGACACTCCGAGCGTCACTGTGCTTGATGCCTGGGTACTGCCAGCAGTCACGGTCAACCTGCCACCAGTCGACTGGAATGCAGAGAAGAAGCACTGGTCCCACCTCCAGGACATACAGTTCCCCGACTCAGCTGGTCAGAGCATCGACCTACTGATCGGATTGAACGCTGCCAGCCTTCACACTGCGTATGAGGAGCGGAGTGGCAGTGAGGGAGGTCCGATTGCTCGGCTTACACCGCTGGGGTGGATCTGCTTTGGCCCGACGCCAATCGACGCTACTGCACCGCAGGCGTTCACACTGCATGGCGCCTCCGTATCCAGTACAGCTCAACTCGACCAAATGGTGGAGAAGTTCTGGAGCCTAGAGGCTGTTGGTATGCAGCCTACAACCACGGAGTACCTGAGCCCTGCGGAGAAGCAAGCCGAGGCCGTCACATCCCGCAGCTTGAGTTACAGCGACTGCCGATTCCAGGTTGCCATTCCGTGGAAGGGTGGCACCAAGCCGAGTGTCCAGTCCAACAAACATCTCGCTTTGCACCGTCTGGAGTCTCTGCAAAGGGCACTTGACAAGCGGCCGTCAATCAAGCTGCAGTATACGAAAGTGCTGCAGGCGTACCTGGAAAAAGGATACATTCGACGCGTCTCCGAAGCGGCTGATCTTTCCATCCCTGACCAGTGGCACCTTCCCCACTTCCCTGTGGTACGGGATGACAAGACGACAACCAAAGTTCGAGTTGTTTTCGATGCAGCTGCCAAGTGCAACGGATATTCGATCAATGACCTGATGCATGCAGGGCCTAATCTGATGAACAACCTTGTTCATGTCCTGCTGCGCTTCTGTCTGGAGCCCATTGCGATCGCCGGTGACATTACAGAGATGTTCCTTCAGGTTCAACTCGCTCCTGAAGACCGCAAGTATCATCGATTCTTGTGGCAGTCGTCACCGGGCACCATCGACACCTTTGAGTTCCTGCGGCTGGTATTTGGCATCAAAGCCTCGCCATACCTGGCTGGCAGGGCGCTCAAACAAGTGGCAGAGGAGTGCTGTTCGACGGCGGTGCCTGCTGCTAAGGAAGCTATCGACCACAGCTTCTACGTCGATGATCTGCTCAACTCCCAACCAACTGAGCAACTGGCAATCTCTGTGCGAGCTGATCTGCAGCACACTTTGGCACGAGGAGGGTTCCATATTCGGAAATGGATCACCAACTCCCCCGCAGTGCTGCAGTCCATTCCTGTTGAACACCGCGCTGTGACAGATACCCGTGACATTGTCTCTCACGAGCAGCCACCTGCGTCTCCGAAGACTCTGGGGGTCACATGGGTTGCGGCGCAAGACCAGTTCACGTTCCGCTACCCAGAGCCGGTCGACGTAGAGTACACCCGGCGAGGTGTGCTCAGCTCCATGGCGCAGCTGTTTGATCCAGGTGGCTCAAGGAAGTTGTGCCGAAGCTGAATGTGCGCTCCAAATGGCACCGCGGCGAGCAGAATGTCAAAGTAGGTGATGTCATGATTGTGCTTGAGGAGCACACACCACGAGCCCGCTGGCCACTCGGGAGAGTGCAAGCTACGTACCCCGGTGAAGATGGTGTAGTGCGCGTCGTGGACATCAAGATCAACGGCAAGATCTACCGTCGTTCAGTTGGCCGCCTTGTGCCGCTGGAGGTACCCGACGCTTCACCCGCAAACGCCATTCGCAGCGTCAACACCGGCATGACCATTGGTGACATCACCGAGTGATCAGTAATGTGTGTTCCGCTCATACTTTGCTTTCATCTTCTCACATAAATCTGTGTGTGTAATAGATTCTCACTCATAGAAGTTTCTTTTCGTTCGAGAGGGAGGTATGTTCGGTCCTCCACCTTCTTCCATCATACGATTAGTAATATTACTACATGTATTAATAGGTCGCGACACTGAGTTATGTCTTGTCTCATGTCACCATCTGTGCATACGCGGTTCGGGCACACGCGCGTGCTCGCGGCTCGCGCGAACTGAACCATGTGAACCGTGAGCAGTACTTTCATCCATATTTGCATGCAACCTGCCCTTATTCATACATGTAGTATGATGTACTGATAGTGTAGCCAGTGCTGTTGTTAGTTTATGTTTCGCAAGTGGAGACAAGTTGTAGTTTGTTTTCCTCTGCTCGAATGATGTGTTTGTTCTTGCAATAAGTCCTTCCGAATAATACCTTTCTCCTTGTCTGAGTCCTGTTCCATCGTGTCTGTTGTGAGAGTCAAGTGACTTTATTAGTGAGGGTTGTGATAGCCCGGACAGCACGAGATTACGAATCCAATCGACCTACCTGCAATTCGGCGGTGGATCCGTCAGCATGTCCGCCAACTCCTTGCGCAGCCTGAAGTATGTCAGAAATTTCAGGCCAGAACGATATCACTTCCATATACTAGTACAATGAAACTTGCTTAGTTAACACGAACAGGTCACTGGTGTAACATGAAATAGTAGTAGTAGTAGTAGTAGTAGTAGTAGTAGTAGTAGTAGTAGTAGTAGTAGTAGTAGTAGTAGTAGTAGTAGTAGTAGTAGTAGTAGTAGTAGTAGTAGTAGTAGTAGTAGTAGTAGTAGTAGTAGTAGTAGTAGTAGTAGTAGTAGTAGTAGTAGTAGTAGTAGTAGTAGTAGTAGTAGTAGTAGTAGTAGTAGTAGTAGTAGTAGTAGTAGTAGTAGTAGTAGTAGTAGTAGTAGTAGTAGTAGTAGTAGTAGTAGTAGTAGTAGTAGTAGTAGTAGTAGTAGTAGTAGTAGTAGTAGTAGTAGTAGTAGTAGTAGTAGTAGTAGTAGTAGTAGTAGTAGTAGTAGTAGTAGTAGTAGTAGTAGTAGTAGTAGTAGTAGTAGTAGTAGTAGTAGTAGTAGTAGTAGTAGTAGTAGTAGTAGTAGTAGTAGTAGTAGTAGTAGTAGTAGTAGTAGTAGTAGTAGTAGTAGTAGTAGTAGTAGTAGTAGTAGTAGTAGTAGTAGTAGTAGTAGTAGTAGTAGTAGTAGTAGTAGTAGTAGTAGTAGTAGTAGTAGTAGTAGTAGTAGTAGTAGTAGTAGTAGTAGTAGTAGTAGTAGTAGTAGTAGTAGTAGTAGTAGTAGTAGTAGTAGTAGTAGTAGTAGTAGTAGTAGTAGTAGTAGTAGTAGTAGTAGTAGTAGTAGTAGTAGTAGTAGTAGTAGTAGTAGTAGTAGTAGTAGTAGTAGTAGTAGTAGTAGTAGTAGTAGTAGTAGTAGTAGTAGTAGTAGTAGTAGTAGTAGTAGTAGTAGTAGTAGTAGTAGTAGTAGTAGTAGTAGTAGTAGTAGTAGTAGTAGTAGTAGTAGTAGTAGTAGTAGTAGTAGTAGTAGTAGTAGTAGTAGTAGTAGTAGTAGTAGTAGTAGTAGTAGTAGTAGTAGTAGTAGTAGTAGTAGTAGTAGTAGTAGTAGTAGTAGTAGTAGTAGTAGTAGTAGTAGTAGTAGTAGTAGTAGTAGTAGTAGTAGTAGTAGTAGTAGTAGTAGTAGTAGTAGTAGTAGTAGTAGTAGTAGTAGTAGTAGTAGTAGTAGTAGTAGTAGTAGTAGTAGTAGTAGTAGTAGTAGTAGTAGTAGTAGTAGTAGTAGTAGTAGTAGTAGTAGTAGTAGTAGTAGTAGTAGTAGTAGTAGTAGTAGTAGTAGTAGTAGTAGTAGTAGTAGTAGTAGTAGTAGTAGTAGTAGTAGTAGTAGTAGTAGTAGTAGTAGTAGTAGTAGTAGTAGTAGTAGTAGTAGTAGTAGTAGTAGTAGTAGTAGTAGTAGTAGTAGTAGTAGTAGTAGTAGTAGTAGTAGTAGTAGTAGTAGTAGTAGTAGTAGTAGTAGTAGTAGTAGTAGTAGTAGTAGTAGTAGTAGTAGTAGTAGTAGTAGTAGTAGTAGTAGTAGTAGTAGTAGTAGTAGTAGTAGTAGTAGTAGTAGTAGTAGTAGTAGTAGTAGTAGTAGTAGTAGTAGTAGTAGTAGTAGTAGTAGTAGTAGTAGTAGTAGTAGTAGTAGTAGTAGTAGTAGTAGTAGTAGTAGTAGTAGTAGTAGTAGTAGTAGTAGTAGTAGTAGTAGTAGTAGTAGTAGTAGTAGTAGTAGTAGTAGTAGTAGTAGTAGTAGTAGTAGTAGTAGTAGTAGTAGTAGTAGTAGTAGTAGTAGTAGTAGTAGTAGTAGTAGTAGTAGTAGTAGTAGTAGTAGTAGTAGTAGTAGTAGTAGTAGTAGTAGTAGTAGTAGTAGTAGTAGTAGTAGTAGTAGTAGTAGTAGTAGTAGTAGTAGTAGTAGTAGTAGTAGTAGTAGTAGTAGTAGTAGTAGTAGTAGTAGTAGTAGTAGTAGTAGTAGTAGTAGTAGTAGTAGTAGTAGTAGTAGTAGTAGTAGTAGTAGTAGTAGTAGTAGTAGTAGTAGTAGTAGTAGTAGTAGTAGTAGTAGTAGTAGTAGTAGTAGTAGTAGTAGTAGTAGTAGTAGTAGTAGTAGTAGTAGTAGTAGTAGTAGTAGTAGTAGTAGTAGTAGTAGTAGTAGTAGTAGTAGTAGTAGTAGTAGTAGTAGTAGTAGTAGTAGTAGTAGTAGTAGTAGTAGTAGTAGTAGTAGTAGTAGTAGTAGTAGTAGTAGTAGTAGTAGTAGTAGTAGTAGTAGTAGTAGTAGTAGTAGTAGTAGTAGTAGTAGTAGTAGTAGTAGTAGTAGTAGTAGTAGTAGTAGTAGTAGTAGTAGTAGTAGTAGTAGTAGTAGTAGTAGTAGTAGTAGTAGTAGTAGTAGTAGTAGTAGTAGTAGTAGTAGTAGTAGTAGTAGTAGTAGTAGTAGTAGTAGTAGTAGTAGTAGTAGTAGTAGTAGTAGTAGTAGTAGTAGTAGTAGTAGTAGTAGTAGTAGTAGTAGTAGTAGTAGTAGTAGTAGTAGTAGTAGTAGTAGTAGTAGTAGTAGTAGTAGTAGTAGTAGTAGTAGTAGTAGTAGTAGTAGTAGTAGTAGTAGTAGTAGTAGTAGTAGTAGTAGTAGTAGTAGTAGTAGTAGTAGTAGTAGTAGTAGTAGTAGTAGTAGTAGTAGTAGTAGTAGTAGTAGTAGTAGTAGTAGTAGTAGTAGTAGTAGTAGTAGTAGTAGTAGTAGTAGTAGTAGTAGTAGTAGTAGTAGTAGTAGTAGTAGTAGTAGTAGTAGTAGTAGTAGTAGTAGTAGTAGTAGTAGTAGTAGTAGTAGTAGTAGTAGTAGTAGTAGTAGTAGTAGTAGTAGTAGTAGTAGTAGTAGTAGTAGTAGTAGTAGTAGTAGTAGTAGTAGTAGTAGTAGTAGTAGTAGTAGTAGTAGTAGTAGTAGTAGTAGTAGTAGTAGTAGTAGTAGTAGTAGTAGTAGTAGTAGTAGTAGTAGTAGTAGTAGTAGTAGTAGTAGTAGTAGTAGTAGTAGTAGTAGTAGTAGTAGTAGTAGTAGTAGTAGTAGTAGTAGTAGTAGTAGTAGTAGTAGTAGTAGTAGTAGTAGTAGTAGTAGTAGTAGTAGTAGTAGTAGTAGTAGTAGTAGTAGTAGTAGTAGTAGTAGTAGTAGTAGTAGTAGTAGTAGTAGTAGTAGTAGTAGTAGTAGTAGTAGTAGTAGTAGTAGTAGTAGTAGTAGTAGTAGTAGTAGTAGTAGTAGTAGTAGTAGTAGTAGTAGTAGTAGTAGTAGTAGTAGTAGTAGTAGTAGTAGTAGTAGTAGTAGTAGTAGTAGTAGTAGTAGTAGTAGTAGTAGTAGTAGTAGTAGTAGTAGTAGTAGTAGTAGTAGTAGTAGTAGTAGTAGTAGTAGTAGTAGTAGTAGTAGTAGTAGTAGTAGTAGTAGTAGTAGTAGTAGTAGTAGTAGTAGTAGTAGTAGTAGTAGTAGTAGTAGTAGTAGTAGTAGTAGTAGTAGTAGTAGTAGTAGTAGTAGTAGTAGTAGTAGTAGTAGTAGTAGTAGTAGTAGTAGTAGTAGTAGTAGTAGTAGTAGTAGTAGTAGTAGTAGTAGTAGTAGTAGTAGTAGTAGTAGTAGTAGTAGTAGTAGTAGTAGTAGTAGTAGTAGTAGTAGTAGTAGTAGTAGTAGTAGTAGTAGTAGTAGTAGTAGTAGTAGTAGTAGTAGTAGTAGTAGTAGTAGTAGTAGTAGTAGTAGTAGTAGTAGTAGTAGTAGTAGTAGTAGTAGTAGTAGTAGTAGTAGTAGTAGTAGTAGTAGTAGTAGTAGTAGTAGTAGTAGTAGTAGTAGTAGTAGTAGTAGTAGTAGTAGTAGTAGTAGTAGTAGTAGTAGTAGTAGTAGTAGTAGTAGTAGTAGTAGTAGTAGTAGTAGTAGTAGTAGTAGTAGTAGTAGTAGTAGTAGTAGTAGTAGTAGTAGTAGTAGTAGTAGTAGTAGTAGTAGTAGTAGTAGTAGTAGTAGTAGTAGTAGTAGTAGTAGTAGTAGTAGTAGTAGTAGTAGTAGTAGTAGTAGTAGTAGTAGTAGTAGTAGTAGTAGTAGTAGTAGTAGTAGTAGTAGTAGTAGTAGTAGTAGTAGTAGTAGTAGTAGTAGTAGTAGTAGTAGTAGTAGTAGTAGTAGTAGTAGTAGTAGTAGTAGTAGTAGTAGTAGTAGTAGTAGTAGTAGTAGTAGTAGTAGTAGTAGTAGTAGTAGTAGTAGTAGTAGTAGTAGTAGTAGTAGTAGTAGTAGTAGTAGTAGTAGTAGTAGTAGTAGTAGTAGTAGTAGTAGTAGTAGTAGTAGTAGTAGTAGTAGTAGTAGTAGTAGTAGTAGTAGTAGTAGTAGTAGTAGTAGTAGTAGTAGTAGTAGTAGTAGTAGTAGTAGTAGTAGTAGTAGTAGTAGTAGTAGTAGTAGTAGTAGTAGTAGTAGTAGTAGTAGTAGTAGTAGTAGTAGTAGTAGTAGTAGTAGTAGTAGTAGTAGTAGTAGTAGTAGTAGTAGTAGTAGTAGTAGTAGTAGTAGTAGTAGTAGTAGTAGTAGTAGTAGTAGTAGTAGTAGTAGTAGTAGTAGTAGTAGTAGTAGTAGTAGTAGTAGTAGTAGTAGTAGTAGTAGTAGTAGTAGTAGTAGTAGTAGTAGTAGTAGTAGTAGTAGTAGTAGTAGTAGTAGTAGTAGTAGTAGTAGTAGTAGTAGTAGTAGTAGTAGTAGTAGTAGTAGTAGTAGTAGTAGTAGTAGTAGTAGTAGTAGTAGTAGTAGTAGTAGTAGTAGTAGTAGTAGTAGTAGTAGTAGTAGTAGTAGTAGTAGTAGTAGTAGTAGTAGTAGTAGTAGTAGTAGTAGTAGTAGTAGTAGTAGTAGTAGTAGTAGTAGTAGTAGTAGTAGTAGTAGTAGTAGTAGTAGTAGTAGTAGTAGTAGTAGTAGTAGTAGTAGTAGTAGTAGTAGTAGTAGTAGTAGTAGTAGTAGTAGTAGTAGTAGTAGTAGTAGTAGTAGTAGTAGTAGTAGTAGTAGTAGTAGTAGTAGTAGTAGTAGTAGTAGTAGTAGTAGTAGTAG